GATTCAGAGGGGCTAATGCTTTTGGATACCCCTCTGAATGTGTGACGTCAGCGGAGATCTAATGATTTTTTAATATTTTACTAAAACGTTTGGTAGCATGCGGTGGTATAGGCTGCTTTGCGCGCAACAAATGCCGCACTTTCAAATAAAGTCGCTAGGAACAGCAGCGGATATCCCAAAAAGTAAACAAAAATAAAAGTATAATCTCTTGAAAACCGGTGAATATTTTTCGATAAAATTTGGTAGATATTCGTTTTCGCCCTTTCTGAACCTAGCGACATCACTTTCATGCCAATTCATTAACTTTTTTGAAGGTGGGAGGGTCTCTTTAACCCGCTTCGAGTCAGTGCTTGGGTCCCTTTGCGGGCCGGAGGTGGTAAAACAGCCCTGTCTAACTCGGCTCCTGGGCCACGCCCTGATTGAACTATGTTTCATTATCGTTTGGGGGAGGGGGAAAACGGGCCACTTTAGGCCTCTGGGAAGGGGGCATGGCCCTAAATGCCCCCTCCCTGGATCCGCCAGTGTAAGAAGAGACCATTGGAGCTGCAGTTGGGTACCCTGGATCCGCCAGTGTAAGAAGAGACCATTGGAGCTGCAGTTGGGTACCTCAGACATTAGGGTACGCCCTCAGATGTATGTATAGGACTCGCATGGAGACCTCTTATGCTATAGTGTACTGAAAGGACCCAAAGGAGCCTGTCTTTATGGGCTCCCGGAGATAGACGTGGGCCCTCAGGAGCCCGCCAGAGCCCCAATGAGGGATAAGTGAGGGATACCAAGTGCCTGCAATTGCATATTGCATAAGCCATAACGCCTTTACAAATCAATATATTATGCATCAGTGGCAGATCCAAGGGGGGCCACATGGGTCATGACCCCCTTGGTGCCCGGGGGCACCACAGGCCTGTCAGGGGCACCACCGGCCTAGTAGGGGCACCACCAGCCCGCCAGGGGCACCACAGGCCTAGCAAGGGCACCACGGGCCTGTGAGGGGCCCCACAGGCTTGTCAGGGGCACCCCAGGTCTGTCAGGGACACCAGAGACCTGCCAGGGGCGCCGCCGGCCTCGCAGGGGCACCATGGGCCTGTCAGGGACACCAGAGGCCTAGCAGGGGTACCACAGGCCTTACAGGGGCACCACCGGCCTTGCAGGGGCACCTTGGGCCTGTCAGGGGCACCACAGTCCTGTCAGGGCCCAGGGGCACCAGCGGCCTAGCAGGGGCACCACAGGCCTGCCAGGGGCACCACCGGTCTAGCAGGGGCACCATGGGCCTGTCAGGGGCCCCACCGGCCTCGCAGGGGGCACCACCGGCCTCGCAGGCATCACGGCATCACGCAGGGGCACCTTGGGCCTGTCGGGGGCATCATGGGCCTGTTGGGGGCACTTTAGGCTTGTCAGGGGCACCACAGTCCTGTCAGGTCCCAGGGGCATCAGCAGCCTAGCAGGGGCACCCTAGGCCCGCCAGAGGTACAGCCCACCGCTAAAGTAATGTAGGGTTTTACCAAACTCAACGGTTGGCTTTGACTGGCGATTGTTTAATGCGAAGTGATTGAAAAGAAGATGTCAATAGCTAAAGTTGTAGCTGCAAGGGTGACGATACATATAAGCTACATTCAAAGTTTCATTGTAGTCTGGCTAATCGTTCCTAAGCTTCAGAAGCAGAACATACCCATGACTGAAACCCCACATTACTTCTGCTGTGGACTGTACCACAGGCCTGCCAGGGTCCAGGGGCACCACAGGCCTAGCAAGGGCACCACGGGCCTGTCAGGGGCACCTCAGGCTCCCGTGCCCCCCCCCCCTCCCCCCAGATCCGCCAGTGATGCCACACCACGCGAAACACCGCCAACTACCAGCTGCCGCGCCATAAAGACGTGCCAACAACAGTCTTTTTTTTTAAGGTCGACTCCGCTCGCGCAACTTTTGACTGACCCTCACTGCTACTATATTGCTTCCATATTATGCTGTGGAAAGCTTTACTTCACCAAGTAGCTAAAAACCTCCATCAAGGTATATTTTCTTAGCAATTTTTCTGGCGTTTTGGGGGGGCCAAACAGGCCACTTTAGGCCTTTGGGGGGGGCCATGGCCCCCGTGGCCCCCCCCCTGGATCCGCCAGTGCGGCTGCTGCCAATGCTGAGCCATAGGAACCCGTGGATAGAGAGTTGTAGAACATCAATCTGCCCCCGAGTGTACCTCCAACTGACTTGTGCACGGCACCTTACTAACCGGTCTCTAGCGATGTGCCAAATTTGAGCACAATCGGCCCAGCCGTTCTCGAGATCTGGGAGCGGCACCCTGCACGTGCGCACGTGCAAAATGGGTCCCAACTGACTTGTGCACGGCACCCTACTAACTGGTCCCTAACCGTGTACCAAATTTGATCGATTCGGAATCGACCCCTGCACGTGCGCACGTGCAGCAGCACCCCAACTCTGGCACATGGATATGCATTGTCTAGTGGGTGCCTATCTACATGCCAACTTTCAGCACAATCGGCCAAGTAGTTACCGAGATATTGCAACTATTACGAAACTGACACCTCTTCGTTTTGCACGTGGCACGTGCATAAGGGGTCACCCACATGCATCGGGAATAGTCCAATACTTGGTAGAAGGAATGAAGCTACCCTACAAAAATTACTGCATGTAAATCGGTCAAGTGGTTGCTGAGCTATAAGCCTCGCAAAAGCATCCGCACGGCCGGCCGCTCATAGACTTTTCATTGACAATAGACAATAGACAATAGACAGTTTATTCAGGACATTCCACGTGCACATGTGGCTATTACTGCCCGTCGTCAATAAAACAGATGGTGATAAAAAACGTAAAAGATGATGAAAGGGAAACACACGTGCAGATAAACAGTCATGCTGGCTAGACAGTGTTTTGCTCCTCGAGCAGATGGGTACGCAAGTGACGTCCGAAAGCTCCAGGGGGCAGTCGGGACAAATCCGGTGGCAGCGAGTTGAGGGCAGCCGGCGCTCGGCAGGTGCACCGGCGTTTGCCCATCTGTACGGGATCGCGGCACGTGCAGGAGCGCGTCCTGCCGCGCGCCTCCGCCACGGTGGCCAGACTGTGTGCTAGCACCTCCGGCTCGGCGTAACACCGCACTTTTTGCAACAGGCACAGGGAGTGGTAGGTGACGAGGTTCTCCGCGCTGAGCCAGCGCAACTGGCACATCAAATCGGAAACAAGGTCATACTTTTTTCGGCCGAAAATGACTTTGGCTGCGTAGTTTAATATTTTTTGTATCCGAGAGAGATTGTGTCTGGTGCCAGCACCATATGTAAGCGTCTCGTCTCTGGCGTCAGGTGCCTGACGTTCCGCAGCGGGCAGCCTGACGCTGAAGCCTCCACCAGGAACCCAGACCAGTACTCAATCACTCAGATGTATTGGAAACCAGGCGAGTTCTGGCGTGTCCAGTATCTAGACAAAAGCTCGACCAGACCAGAGCTTCAAAAGCACGTTGACCGGAGCTCCCATCCAGCCGAGCTCACTCTCCAGCACGGCCCCGGCTCCAGTAAGCCGCTCACCGAACGATTGGCTCTCACAGCCCGTGCCGCTGGCCCGCCGCCATCAGCCCGCTGCCGAACTCGGCGCGCCGCCACGCCGGCCACCAGTCACCGGCCACAGCAAAGCCCGGCCACAGGATCACCGCCCCGGACTGCTCACCACATTCCGCTCGCAGCCAGTTCACAGTTGTCCGGTCCACGCTTTGGCCGCCCAACGCAATGTCGGCGCAATACCGAACGAAAACGCAAACGCAATGGCGAACAACCGGCTCGCACATCGCCACAACAGGAAGATCTCCCAGACGTTCAGCGTTGCCTTTCGCAGAAAATCATTACTAACCAAACACATTACTAAAAGTAACCATTACTAGGGAAAACACTTGCTTCGACATGAATGAAAAAAATATAGAAGTACTAATGATCCATTTAATAACTTAAGATCTACGAGTTCAACACAAGTTCCCAAAACATTTCTTTAGAGCGTCCAGATTAAAGCTGATAGTTTCACGCTACAACTCCAATACTTACACATATACTGCGATGCAGCATCGAATTTGGGATATGACCAGTGCGCTGACCAGCACGGAGATCACAGTGGGCGGTAGGTGCCCCCTGAGATGCGAGAGACCACCCAAAACTCCAAAGCAGCGTTTCGTGAGCGTTTTGATATGATCACCCCAGGTCAGGTGACGATCAAATATGATGCCGAGGTTTTTGGCTGAGATAACTGGGGATAGCTCGTGATCGCGGTACTTTACTATAAATTCAGGCAATGTACGAAGATTTTGGGGGCTGCCCAACAGCATCAGCTGGGTCTTAGCGGCGTTGACTTTTAAACCGTTGGCCCGGAACCAACGGTCACCCGTTCCATGTTTCCATCCTCAGGATACTGAAATCCTTTTCCTCCACACCGCAACCCCCTCCGGGCTGGACAGGCAACTTTATCTCATGCGGGCTGCTTCCCTTGGAGCGGTACCGCTGCTCCCGAGGGAGCGCACCCCGTAGCCGGGTGCAGTGAGTGCCTTGGGGCTGGGTGGCCTATCTTCGGACGGGCTCAGCCCCGGCGACTCACTAGGGTGCCTGCCCAGACCAATGTCTCCCCCTTATCCTATCATCCTTCCGGCTCTGAAATGGTCTTACTGGACCGAAAGGGCCTAACCCAAAAAAAAACAACGGTCCAGAGAGGCCAAGGTGTCCTCCATACGAGTGACGACAGATTGAATTTGTGATTTTTTGCCGCTTACTAGAATTTGTGTGTCGTCTGCGTATTGAACTACTACTGCGCCCTCGGCAAACTGACTGAGGTCGTAGGCGAAGACGCAGTAGAGGAGGGGGCCTAAGGCTGAACCCTGAAAGACTCCGATGCTGTTGGGCAGCGGGCGGGACTTTTTGACTCCACCGTGATATGGCCTGACCGGCTGCCGGTCAGGCCATATACCCAGAGTCACACCCGTCCGCTGCTTACCGACCGGCGGTGCTCTGTTTCAGATTGTGGAGGAGTGGGTCGGTCTACGACCCCATCGTGACCCGGTGCGCATAGAGAAGGAGCGCCTGGACACGGGCCTCACGGTGGTCCACTGTTACGGTCACGGTGGCTACGGGGTGATGACGGCGCCGGGCAGCGCTGCGCTGGTCAGCCGGCTGGTCACAGAGGTCACCAGCGGAGACTTCACCAACCCTGCCATCAGCAGTTTGTAAGCGCGCAGCGGATGGAGTCGGCTGGTGAGGCGCTCGCTGCCGACTTGCTAACCGGCTGCTGGTAGGCAGACCGCTGGCGTCCGTGTCTTACGGTCTGCTGGAAGCTGAAGTAGCATAAAGTGACCAGTACCTCTTTTAGAGCGTCGGGTATGAAAAAGGGGCACAGCACAGTATTTTATCTCGGCCTCAGAAGCGGACATAATACGATATCTCAGCAAGTTTTCATCGGATCCTAATAATTTTGATGTCAAATGAAAGCGCAGACACTGGCGGTCATGCTGACCGTCGCTGATGTCTAAATATAATAGGAAAGATCGTATTATCTAGAAAAACCAAATTCACCGTTTTACGCAATAAATGTTTTTCTACAAGTGCCATGGAAAATCTTCAGTTCGTGTTCACCGAGCATTCTGATTTCGGGCAGAACATCCATTTTCGGATTGAAATGTGAAAACATGTTTTGCTTTATTGATAAATATTTTTATACATTTGAGAGGCATTGCACTAAAGCGTCATACAGATCGGATACTCAAAGGAAGAACGGATGCTTTGGTAAATGCAATACTCAATGGATATGGAACGGAAGTGAGCAGGGATTCAGCAGGGGTTCAGCAGGGATTCAGCAGGGGTTCAGCAGGGATCGACGGCACCTACGATTTCGCTGAATTTTGGTGGAGAGGTGCAGAATGGTGTCCTCTATCGAAAATCTTTGTGCCAAAATGCGGGGAATCCATCAGGAGGGCCACCAATCCCAAAAACAGTATGCCCTCAGGCACGGAATATATAGTCTACGACATGGAATGGACAGGAGCTTCGATTAGCATTGCCACGTGTGTAACCAAAAATCAGGGCTTTTGCCGGATGAATATCCGGAGGATGCGGATGAATTCCTTTCCACGTGGGTTTACCTTTTCATACATTTTCTTAACAATACATGATTGACATTGACACATTGACCTATAATAAGTATAGACGAACTACTCGCGTTTTTGCGGCGTTCCTCGTCGACCAAAGAAGGAAATTGTTTTCTGAAATTACAGCGCAGGATAAGGGCAATCCTAACCTTTAAGCACGGACGTAGAAATAAAAGTTTATTAAATATTTGACGTTAATTTATTTTAAAATGTGTAACACAGGGCGTCGGCTAAGGAATTTTGACTGGTGGGCCACTTGGGCAGCGACATGGACTGACCTTCGTAGCCATAACCCCCCCCCCCCCCCCAATTTTCGATTTCTCCCCAGATTTCGGCCACTTTATTCTGCAAAAAAAAAACGTCAGGATGGCATTAAAAAATGTAAAAAACGGGTCTCGAACCCTCCCCCGACTCTTCAGAGAGAGGAGAGAGTAGATAGTAGGGACCCACAACCCTCTCAGTGGTGAGACTCCGGCGGTGCACATAAAATCGCACAAGTATGCACAAAATATTGACGCAGATAAAACTTTGGACGATAACTTACGGCCGTTCGGATGTTAAAAATCAGCGAGCCCTGAGTGGATTGCTCGCCGACTAGTCGGAGATTCGAAAGCGGTCGGACGGGATCGGGCGTTGTCGGGAGGAATTGTGAACAGCACAAGTGCAACTTTAGTGAAGTGGGTTGTTGTAGCAGGAACCCCAAAAGGGGGTTGTAGCAGCAGCCCCAACATCTCTGAAAATGATCATTAAGCATATTGGTGTCGCATGGAAAAAAATTGACTCAAAAGCCCAAGCGCACTGTGCAACCCTAATATTTTTCTAAAAAAACTAAGTAATGTACGCTTTTGGTGAACAGTGTCCCAAACTTCAGATTTCTCTTTGGTGTCTGAGTGGAAAATTCTAGCCACCCCAAATGTGAGAGTGGAAAATTATCCATTCTTATTCTTGAGTGTCATCTTCAGCCCAAATGAGAAATTTTTGGAACGCTGACTGTGAACGGTTCGAAATTCGTCCGACTGGTCAGATGTGTGACTGCAAGCATCATACCGGTCGTGAAGACGCATAATATTGCTTGCAGACTTCAATCTGCTGGAAGTCGCCGACACTACCTCTAGTTTGACTCTGGCTTATATCGTGTATATCGACGAGCCGTCTGAGATCGCTCGCAGGCTTATACCCGACCGTCTGAACTGCTCTGTTCTTTATTCGTAGTTTTTCTTGTAACCGACTGGTCTGCGGCAGATGCTTATGTGACTGCAACCACTCGATCGATCAGAAAGCTTGCAAGAACTTTCGCAGACCTCGATCGGCTGGAAGCCGCCGACACTATCTGTAATTGACAGAGGCAGACGTCTTTCACGATTATTGCATAAAATTTAAAGCCTCGGTCACACTTCACCGGATTGGACCAACGGACGAGAAACGGACGAGAACTGTCAGCGTCCGGTGATGTCCGTTTGCAGGGTATATTGTCCGTTTGTTTCCGTTGGACGTCCGTTTGTCATCCGTTAATATCCGTTCCATATCTGGTGGTGTCCGGTCGAGCACACCGGACACCACTGGACATGGAAGTACTGTGACGTCACATGGAGATCGAAGTAAAAATCATACAGCAAAGACGTAGGTGGTGGATTTTTAAAGTTGTGGGTACTATAGTCCACCCAAGAGGATATTGCAAACAATAGGTTGAAGTTTTTTTCACAAGAATATGTTTCACCGATGGGTACTTTACAGCCTGAAAATGTACGATAAGATCTGCTTTTTCAATTTGAAAAGTGAAAAATGTGAAAACTTCGATTTTTCGGAAAATAACTGGTGGGCCAAATCTTTGAGGCTGGTGGGCCACTTCGGGTCACTGGTGGGCCATTTGGCCCACCAGTTAACATGTTAGCCGAGGCCCTGGTGTAACATCACGCTCACATTTACTACAAAACATTTATTTAAACGTTTAAGGGTTGAAGTCAAGCCCCACGAAATCGTTTCCATGGTAACGGAATAAACAAAGTCCTCGGCATCATTTATTGTTGCCGCATTGCAAATTGCGTAAGGTGTGTTGACAGTTCTGTGCATATTAAACAAGAAAAGATAGTTTGTCACCAATAAAGAGCACAAACAAATATCAAGCACATATTGCACGTGATAAGTGAATCATTTCAAGGCGATAAAATTGACTTACGTTATTACAGCAAGCATTTCAAGCGGTGTGATCTGAGATATTTGGTATTTATGTAATTAAAGCATTTTATTTCATTTTCTTTAAATTCAACCTGTTTATCTGCTAGAGCAGTGAGACACTGATAATTTTATCATAAATGGCTAGAGTCAAGAGAAGAAAAAACTGAGAGACACTTGCAATCTTCACAAATGTTATAAGAAACGGTTTGTACGAGGTCTACCCAAGGTCTACCTAAGAAGGCACAGGCCTATGTTCCTGTTGCTGAAAGGCTTCTGAAGTGTGCTGAAATTCATCTGCCAACTGAACCAGACATAGCCCGACTTATGGCCAAGATACCTATAAAGTAAAAAAGATTGACGAACCTCAGTTGTAAGTTGCTACTGCAATTAAAGGGACCCTCCCACCTTCAAAAAAGTTAATGAATTGGCACGAAAATGATGTCGCTCGGTTCAGAAAGAGCGAAAACGAATATCTACCAAATTTCATCGAAAAATATTCACCGGTTTTCAAGATATTAGACTTTTACTTTTGTTTACTTTTTGGGATCTCCGCTGTTCCTAGCGACTTTATTTGAAAGTGCGGCATTTGTTGCGCGCAAAGCAGCATATACCACCGCGTGCTACCAAACGTTTTAGTAAAAGATTTAAAAATCGTTAGATCTCCGCTGACGTCACAAATTCTAAGGGGGCATACCAATGCACTAGCCCCTTAGAATCCGAAAACTGCAAGTTTGAAATTCCATATCTCCGAATTAAAGCATTTGTCGATGTTGTGAGTGCCCAAACCGGTATTTGCAGGTCATGGCCACCAATTTGGCTATCTCAACTCAAAACTAATGTTAAGGTGGGAGTGTCCCTTTAAACACGATGGAGGCTGGAGCCGTCAAGAAAACTGAATGGAAGCTCAGCAAGACTGCAGCAGTCGAAATGCCTACTATGTGTGACCTGCTAATGACTGGCTTAATTATTTCTTAGTGGCTCAACATAAGTGCTCAAGAGCAGAAGGCCCCTCATTTACTTGTGTGTGCGCTGATTTGTGGAACGTGGAACGTGTCGAAAACCAGAATTCGTGAACTTTTGGTGATCACCAGACACCAGTGACCTTTAGCGATGACCTGATTGAAAAATCGTCTAGATGATTCTCAAAGTCCTTGTAGCGAGCTACCTACTGCCTTTTCCGCATCTTTATACCTTTCTTCCTTTGCGAGATAATATGGCGTGGACAAATACGTCGGCCCCCTCCTCCCATCACTATGGCGAAGCTGACTGAAAGGCCCACTCGGGCGCGGGTTAAGGAGGCTCATGGGTGAATGAAATGATGCATAATTTTGTGCACTCAGATTGGTATGAGTACCTATATCGCCACTCATCCCACAGTCTCTACTACCATGAACATTATTTTCATGTATTCATAGTTCATATGATTTGACGATGCTTTGATGATGTCATGAATGTTACTGCTGAGCTTCATCTTAAATACACAATACATAATGCTATATCAACTAACAAACTGTCTTAATCGAATTCGCAATCATGAAGAGAAACGCGCATGAGACCTGCAAAACTACGTGATAGTGAAGCCGAATGCTCCTTTAACGGATCAATAAATTATGATTCTGAGCGCAACGGCAAAGCCGCTCATTCGAGATGTGAAAGTGGCCCCGCTCGTATGCACGTGCAAACTAGACCCAAATGGACTTGAGCATGGCACCCTTTTAAACGGTCACTACCGGTGTACCAAATTTGAGCGCAATATCCCCAGCCGTTCTTGAGTTGTGGAAGCGACCCCTCGCGAGTGCGCACGTGCAAGCTGGACCCAAACTGACTTGTGCACGGCACCCTGCTAAACGGTCCCTAACGGCGTACCAAATTTGAGCACAATCTGCCCAGCCACTCTCGAGATGTGGAAGTGACCCCTGCACGTGCGCACGTGCAAGCTGGACCCAAACTGACTTGTGCACGGCACATCTGTCAAACGGTCCCTAACGACGTACCAAATTTGAGCGTAATCGGCCCAGCCGTTCTCGAGATCTGGAAGCGTACCCTGCGCGTGCGCACGTGCAGCAGCACCCAAACCGTGACACGTGGAAATGCATTATCATTTGCATGTCCACCGACATGCCAAGTTTCAGCTCAATCAACCCAGTCGTTGTAAAGTTATTGTTGATCGAACAAATTTGTCACCACTTAGTTGGCACGTGGCGCGTGCCGTGCCCCTCACCCTATGACTTTGTGCTATGTTCAAGTGATTAAGCTTGGACGCTTCTACATTGTAGACGCAATCTCGTTTCGTTCCGTCGTGTTATTTACGAGAAAGAAGTTGATGAACTTTCGCGTTTTTCCCATAGACAAAGCATTGTGTCATTAGTTCGTGCCCTTACACGTACGGTGGCGCTAGTGTCGCTCAGCGGGAACGGCCTTCAGGCGCTGATT